AAAAAAAAAAAAAAAAAAAAAAACCAACAAAAACACACATAAAAAAAAACCACAAACAAACAAAAAACACAAACAAAACAAAAAACCACAAACAAACAAAAAAAAACCCCACATTTTTTAAATCTTCCCATCACTGGTGAGTCTGGTTCGTTCTACTTCTGATAACAGCTAGATTTCAAACACTGATCACTGAAAGCTCCTGTTTCAGGTTGGACAAAACTATAGGCAACTTGGGTAAATTCAGCAAACAATTTCAATCCAAACAGAAGGTCAGTCAGGAAAAATGTCAACACTTAATTTCTGCGTTTTCAAGACTACCACCACCAATTATGTTTTTCTACCTCCTGCCAACAAATTGAACAAGTTCACTAAATAAAACATTTTAGCTTTGCTAAAGGTATTAATTTTGGGGAAGGAGCAGAACCAACAAAATCAATTAATCACAAACCTCTAACTTACTTGAAATGCCTTGTAAAATAGACCATGTTCTGGAGTTTTTCTGGATGATCCATCTAAATTTCTTTGACCATATGGAAAATATTGCCGAGGCTCACTCTGTGCCTTGCTCAAAGCTGGAAAATCAACCAGGATTCTTCACTTTTGTCACTACTATAACTCCCTGTATTGAAAGCCATAACAACCTGTTGACTTTTTTTCCCCTCCATCACAGGCCAAGAGCGAAATTTAAAAAGTTGCCAAAGCAAACGCTGATATTCCTTAAATCCTTAGAGCATTTTAAAAATTAGAGATGGAATGAAGCAGAGCTGCTTGATTTTCCAGAGCCAGGAAGTAGCTCTGTGGTGAAACAGTGACTTCAGGCTGTTAACACAAGTGCAAGTGCTGGTCTGTCTGTGACAGAGAGGTTCTGAAAATAAAAGGCATTGCTGGTTGTATTTACTTGGACTGTAAGGATGGAAGTGAAATAGTCCAACAGTGCCTCTGTAGCTCCAGAAGGCTCAGCAAAGCATCAGCTTCAGAGCTGAGTGGGTGCTGCTTATTCCTTTCTGCTGAGGCTCTGTCAAAATGCTCTAGTCACTGCAGGTCGATTTTGGCAGGCTGAACACAGGTGTCCTTAGATTCAAAACTCCTATTAAAAGAAAAGGTACCAGTTTAGTTTTTTTTCCTTTGTTTGGGGCTTTTTTAAGACCTCAGTGAAGTAACAGGTTGGATTCACTTATCATTTTTCCTCCAGTGCCAGTGTGTTTTTCATGTTCATATTTATAGTGCATGTGGAATTGCTAATTTTTAATTTTTTTAAAGCCCTATAAGTATAATCTTTAGTCCTCAAACACCCCCTCTCCCCTTAGAATATAGTACATTAAAAATATTACAGAATAAACACAACTATGCTGAAAATAAAGCTTGAGGCTTCCCTGAAGTTTGGCTGGGACAGGTTAAACAAGGACACCTCTTGTCACAGGTGTGGCCTGGACGTTCCTCCTGACAGGCTCTGCTCTCTTCCCAGGATTACACCGCTACCATATCCCTGCGGCAGCGCTGGACGGACCCCCGGCTGGTGTTCCACGGCAACAAGAGCTTCACGCTGGATGCTCGGCTGGTGGAGCTGCTCTGGGTGCCAGACACCTACATCGTGGAGTCCAAGAGGTCCTTCCTGCACGACGTCACCGTGGGCAACCGCCTCATCAGGCTGTTCTCCAACGGCACCATCCTGTACGCCCTGAGGTGAGTCAGGCTTTGCATTGGGTGAAAATAGATTTCCAGAAGCACACTGGGCAGCAGCAGACACCAGGTGCCACGGGTCAGTGAGCTTACTGTGACCATACCCTTCCAATCCATTTCTCCCTGTTCTGGCCTCCTGGAAATGCCAGTCAAGGATCGGGATTTCTCATCATGGTATGTGACGTGTTCTCCACATTGTGCCCACTCAGAAAGCTCACAAGTTTCGGTGGCACCCAAGAAAAGTCAAGTCAGGTGGAGGCAGGGGAGGAAAGGAAGGAGGACATCATAACAGTAAAAGTTTAACTGATAGTGGAAAACTATT